TTAGGTGCATTAGCTATGGGAAAAGCAGGTTTAGGGGGATGAGTCTGGGTGGGATACTCTTCGCAGGGTCAGTATGGACTTGTTGGGCTGAATAGCCAGTTTCCACACTGTGGGGTTCTGTAGAATAGTTTCTCTACCAGATGTTGGACTCAGTAGCATGTAGTTTTCTATTTTATTAGGAATCATTGAATTATAATGAAGTTTAAACTAATATGACAGGGGGATGGGAACCAAAGCAGGAAGCTGGAGGGAAGTAAAATGGGGCCAGAAATGAAAGGTGTTAGTGGGAAAAGTGAAAATGGAAGGCAGAGATGCCAAAGACAAAAATCAAAAAGAATCACGTTACATTATAATTCTAAAAGGGCAAAAAATGTCAAAAAAAGAGCCTGAAGGCTCTGTGTCTCAATGCAAAGAGCATTTGTAATTAGGTGGATGAATTAACTGTGCAGCCAGTTATTAATAGTTATGATGTAGTTGGGATCACTGAGGCGTGGTTCCAGAGTGACCAAAGTTGGGAACTCAACATCAACTGGTATTCAATTTTCAGGAATGATAGACAGAAAGGAAAGGGAGGTGGGTAACATTATGGGTTAAGAGCAAGAAGAAGGAAGGACATTAGTCTGGACACTGTGGAATCTGTTTGGGTGGAGTTGCAGAACTCCAAAGGGGGAAAAGCAGTTAGTGGGAGTTATGTACAGACCACCAAATAGTAGGTGTAAGATTGGGGATGGCATCAAACAGGCATTTACAGATGCGTGCAGTAGGGGTACAGCAGTTATTATGGCTAACTTCAAACTGCATATTGATTGTAATTTCACCAGTGAAGCGATATTGTTCTACTCCGCTTGGAATTTATATTGTCCAATCTGTTATGGAGAGTTGTCATTTCCGGTTTTGTTCTATATGCGTTTGTATATAGGGTCAAATTCTATATGTTTGTTGATTGCATCATGGACTGATACACCAGATACCAGGAGACAGTGGGTCAAGGATAAAGGAGGAATTGAGGGAAATCCTTACTGGTCAGGAAATGGTATTGGGGAAATTGATGCAATTAAAAGCTGATAACTCCCCAGGGCCTCATACTGTGCATCCCAAAATACTTAGAGAAGTGGTCCTCGAAATTGTGGATGCATTGGTGATCATTTTCCAGCATTCTGTAGACTCTGGAAGAGTTCCAATGGACTGGAGGCCAGCTAATGTAACCCCACTTTGTAAAAAAGAAGGAAGAGAGAAAACAGGGAATTTCAAATGCTTGCCTTTTTCCGGTCTTCTCAAGTGGAATTGCTCAGCATTCAAGTAAGCTGATATTAATTGTGGAAGACAAACTGGTTTATTTCGTGTGGAAACTACTAACCAATAGTGACATTCTATCTCACCTGCATTGTTTGTTGTAACATCAAAATAACTAACCAATTACATAAACTCAGCCTTTGGGTACAGGTGTAACTTTACTCTTCCAAGTCATTATCACTTAAGGCACTTTCTGTGCCATTGACTTCAATCCCATATTCTGCATACTACCTTGCTGCTTTTAGTTTGACAGCAAGTCAAACAGTTGGCATCTAACCTTCTTTTGCATGTGTATGCATGTGTGATTGACCATTTGATCTGACAATTAATGCGATTACTGAGTCAGAAACCACAGGTGGAATTTTTGTTAGAGTGTAAATATGGATCTGGGCTCCAGGATGTCCACCTGGAGTCAGGGTGGATTTTCTCGTGTAATTTTGTCCGAGTCTTTATTACATAAGCATGTGTGGTTTAAAGTCTGAACCTTTGTGGCAAGTGGCTTAGTGAACCAGATGGGTTTTTCTGACAATTGAACAATTGATTCATGGTCATCATTGAAACCTTTATTCCAGCTTTTTTGCTTATATTTGAATTTAAATTCCACCATATGAGTCAGGATTCAAACCTGGGTCCCCAGGACATTATCTGGGTCTTTGAATTAACAGTCCAGCAATAATATCACTAGAGTGTGACCTCCCCTAAACTTCACTATTATCAATCATGGAAAATCTGTGGATATAGCACAGAGACCCCAACTGAACTCTGAACATATCTGAGACAAGACAGGAGGCCTTAGCGTCACCTCATCAAGTGTGATACTGCAGATTAATCTTGAGCACAGGGATGTCTGCTTTCCTTGGGATGGAAATAATATACCATCTCCAGTGACCAGGACTACATGGACTGAGGTGGTTACAATCATCGGTGATCCTAACACCCAGGCATGAGACTGGCTACAGTAATACAAACAAAGAATGATCTTTTGCGTACTTCCAAGGTAAATGCTTCATGCCTCAATCTATTTCACTCAGCGTAGTTAATTTGTCACTGCACAAGGATGTAACATAAAAATTGAGTGCCATATCTTTATCGTATATTTCATGTGCAATGTCTCTCACTTCACTGGAAACATTTATTTCACTCTATTTGCAATGGGGTGTTGCTGCCCCTCTGCCATCTGCCAGAGGTCACATTTCTAACAGAAGCAGAATTGCTGGCCTCAGCACCTCAAGCACCACCAGATCACCCACCTTTCATTGCAACCGAGTTAAAATACAGATCATAGAGCTTCCACCAAAGTGCACCAAAAGTGAAAGGACAGCACAAAATGTGGTATGGGCCTGAACACCTCTCTCAAACATCATGTGATTCTGAATGAATTTCCATCAATTGTACCTTTTTGACCACACTGAACCACCTCTAATTAAGAGTCTTACACTTTCAAATGCCCCAATATTACATTCTTCTTTCACTTAATGCAAATAGGCAGTCACAGCAATGGGAATTTTTATCTTTAACTTTCCTTGTACTGATTTATACAGATAATGCCTCTTAATTCATTTGTCACTTTGCATCAGAAAACTGCACACAACTAATGGGATGCCCAATCTTGTGGACTTTATGATCTTTGCAGAGATAGCTGGAGAACATGGGAGCTCGCTTGCACTGTATTAGAAATTGGAAATGTTTGGTTGTCATGTGAGTTATCCTCCAAGCGGCTGATAGGAAACACCAATCAAGGAGCAATTTTTGAACTAAACTTTGATTAAGGATGGCATTTTGTATGATCTTTATGCAGGATCCACAATATAGAGACAAAGAAGAATGTCAACTTTTGGTGAATCTGAGTACCCAGGTTTATTTGTTTGAGATCCAGTCAGCAATCATCTGAGGAGGAACAGCCTGGTCCCTCAGAATGCATTGTTAAGGCATTGCTCTACCAGTTCAACTCTGGGTAATTTATCTAGAGTAGGCTGAAATTGGTGAGCACTGCACTGGCACAGAACCGTAGGCAGAGGAGGAAGAATTGGATAACATCTCTGATACTTGGAGGCGTGCTGGAGAACAGGCCGCCGTTAAGGCCGGTATACTTGATTAGCCTTTGAACTTGAGCCATACATAAGTGCAGAACATCTAACAGAACTGCCAGAGACCTAGCTTGGAACAAAGTGCAGTTTCTGTCTAACGCTGGGGCCCTGGTTTGACAGTCCATGGTTGCCTTGATGGTCTGGATGGCAAAGCATGGAAACGTCTGCTTTTTGGTTTGGCAAGAAGGGGCTGAAGGAGATTGACCTCACGTTCCTTAACTCCAGAAGGAGTAAGGTACCATTGTAAATTGACAGAGAGGATGAGTGATAAACACAAAGTATTGTCATCTCAGGACACTCTGGAGGTGCCGTGGCAGCACCTTCCCTCTGCCAATGAGTCACATGCCTCCATCACCTCAGGCTCAAGGAATAACACATGCGCATGTGCAGAAGCCCTCTATAATTAGGCTCTTTAGACTCTGGGCCTACCAGAGGCTACCTACAAACATTATCTGAGGCAAGATGACAGTCCAGTCTACAGGCTTTCAGAAGTCAGCTGCATCCACTGAGGTGGCATGACATTGTAACATTAGAACAAGGAAGGTGAAAGAATTTGAAATCATATTGCGAGTGTGTGTGTGTAAAATCTATGTGCAGTACTACTGTTTGATGAAATATCACTTTTGCATTCACTTCTGTGCTCTCATTCAATATGTCAAAAGTTCTAACTGTTCATGGTATCATTGCAGACAATGTGGAGACGCCATGGTGTAATTAAATGATTTGATGCACATTGAGTGCATTCTTGGGAGGAGCTGTAAGTTTCATTCATTGTTGTCATCTGGGAGAACAGGAACTTATTGGAGTGTGGGGAAAGCTGTGTTTTAGGAGAGATTCAGCACAGTGTAAGTCCTTAGCATTTCTTTCTCATAATGGGGAGTGCTTGCAAACTGATTTGTCACATCTCTGCAATGCTCCAGTATAAACTACAAACTTCACATTGGCCAGTGAAGTTAGGATTCAGCCTGAGAGAATGGAGTACAACAAGTTCAGATGGAGGCTGGGTGAAGGGAGCAAAGAACTTAAGGCGATTGATGTAACATCAACAGTTCGCAATAAAGAGAAAGGGTCCAGGTGGATTTGGAATTATAAGTCATGAATTTTAGTTTATGTAATGACCATTTTAAGACCAATGTGGGATAGAAAGTATTCTGAAAGGGAGTTAATTGATTTCATGTTGCTGCCATGATTACGTTCCAAGAAATACACACACATCCTCTGGTTTCATGAGAGTGAACAAAAAAGCAGTGTAGGGTAAGTAGAAAGTCGAATTCCATCAGCCGGTGTTTTATGTATAGCAGTTCAGAACAAATTGAGAATTTGTACAAAGAAAAAATGAACAGGATTCTTTCTGAATGAAATAATTTTCTGTTTGGCAATCTTTATACAGTTGCTGGTATAGAAAAGAGCAGAAGTATTTATCACAAATTAATTAATGTTTGAATTTTATTGATTTCATTTGGTTTATAGTAAGCATTTTAAGTGAAATATTGGCCAATAGTTTTCTTCCTGCTGGCATTGTGTGATTTCCTTTTTTTCTTAGAAATTATATCTCTCTATAGGAAGCGTAACAATTGCTTTAATAAAATCTGATGATTCTCATCACATACACAGTTAATAATGGCGTCAAGTGATAAGAACCAGAGAAAGAAAAAGTAAGTTATCTTAAAGTAATCTGCTGACGTGACTTATCAAAGATTTAAAAAGTTACTGCCATAGCTATGAAATTTTGAGACAAAGACAAATATTCATTCTCCACTTTCTTAATCTAGCAACCAGATTTAGTTGTTCTTCAATAATTCTTAGTAAAGATAAAACATTATTATAGCCCGTATCATGGAGAAATGAATAGCAACTGGATTTGGGACAGCAGTGAAGTTTCTGATTGACATACGCTTTTCCATTATAAATGTGTTCAGAAGCCAGTGTAAAAATACAAATATAGTGGTCATGTAAATCACAACAAGAAGTCCTTCTTTCAATGAGTTTGTGAAATAAATCATGTGGCTATCGATGAAGTGCTGCACAAAATTATAACTGCTAACCAGACTGCAAATCAAAAACTGTCATTGCATAGGTAGTTTGTACAAATAATTCTTTTTGGACGGAAGGAGGATATAGACCCTGCCAGTCAGTCTTTGGATGAAATCCCAAACGGTCATGTGGTCTGTGATAGCCCTCTCCTTCTAGAAGGTATTACCATAGTTCCATTGTTTTTCACACAAATGAATACTTTATATGCATGGGCATTGCCTTTCATCAAGGTTGTGATCTTGGAGAAATTTGAGACTTTTCAGGCATTGTTTAGTACTATCTGAGATAGTGTTTAATTAAGAAAATTTGATGTATTATAAAAGAGAGTTCCAGGTCATGAAAAGACCTTGCTAGGGGAATAGATCCTGATGATAAAACCAAGCAATCAAATGTTCATTCCTCACAATTACTCAGAATCATTGACAAAATCTCAGAATTCAAGCAGCTGATAAAAGTACAGTAAGGCACCTTGTATGTGAAATGCTGTTGTATTTTGTGATGCAGGTCTTGATGAATAGAATAGAATAGAGGGTTGGATAGTGACAATGAGTGATCATGATGCACAGAGAGACAGCCATCACATCCAAAGTCCATTTGCCCAGAGTTGGTATTCAGATGCCAAATATTCCAGAGAAGTCTTGTGAATGGTGGCACATGTTAATTGTGTGATATGCAGGAAAAGCTTTGGCAAGTTGAAATATTGTTGGACATTCAGAACAATGGCCAAGAGGAGAGGTCCATGCAGTGGTGGAATGTAGTTAAAAAGGGTGGAGAGTAAAAAAAACATGGTGCAAATGCTGATGGTGGGTCAAGAAGTGACTCAAGTATCAGGAACCAATTACGTATCAGAGAAAGACTCTTCAATTGTGCAAGAGAACATGCTTGCAATATTAGGAATGAGAGATATATAATTGTAATTAGAGGCTGTAACTTGAAATGAAGTGAAGACCATGGAACAGTCATGAAAAGGAGCTAGATGCAGAAGTGTTTGTCATTGTGAAGTTTTGGTGGCTGAAAACTAATAAGAAAGGCAAAATAAAGAGCATTAGATAGTTAGAAAATATTTGTGCTTGCAGATGGGACTTCTGTAAGGTTGGACTAATTGCAATTGCTGCAGGGTTTTGAAGAGCAACTGATTTGCTATAGATGTTAAAACATACTGTTTCAGAGTATTTTTTGTTCCTTTAGTTGCAATATCAATGGTGCATGAAAGAATTGACATAAAAATTATGTTTTTTGTGGTGTGATTGTTTTGAGCAAATTTTTTTTTGTGTTACCTGTTGAAACCGGTTGAAATGCAATGGGTGATAGCCATTCTTGGTTTCATTTCTCAGGCAATGCCGTAACCAATCAAACTCAACTTTGGCATCAAGGAGCTCAAGCAAAACTAGAGTCAGTGAGAATTGGAGGGAAAACTCTCTGCTGGCTGGAGTCATACCGAGCACAAAGGAAGGTTGCTGTAGTTGTTGGAGACAGTGGACCTAATAGTGACCTCTGGTGTATATACACCTCCAATCGAAACTATTCCAATTTAGCTCAACTTTATTGCTTTTCGTTTGTTAGCTATGTTTCTAGGTTTTCTCTTATGTGCCTTCATTTTTCTGACACATCTTATCCACCATGGTTTGAAAGTCCATATGTATTTAATCACTTGCATTCTTTACATTTACCCAGTTGCACACTTCAAATAAACTCTTAGGTTTATCAAACATAATTAGAGTTTAGTAAATGTGTGCTGGTTAACTTGACTATCGTATACACCTCCAAGTGCTTACCAGTTTTATCTTGACTTATGGCAGCTGCTAGAATCAGTTAAAAGTGTCAATTTTTCAAATCAGCATTTAAAATGGTTGTTTTGTGTTAATTATATATTTCTTACCTAAATATAATTCCATTGCAGTGAATATTTATAAGTATAGTATGTGCCAAATGATCCACGATAAACTGATCAAATCCTCTTCACTTCATCTTCCTCATACCTCTGAAGGATCTCAGTGGAAGATTGATGCAAAGATTCCTCTTTCAATCTATCCCTAATGTACAGTATTCCAAATACAATTGTATTTTAAAATACCACAACATCAAAAACAGAATGTTAACTTTTTAGTCGTGGAAATCACAGACATTTTACTGTGTTAAGGCACTATATTAATTCAAGATGATGTTGAAACAAATCTAATATAGTATAGATTCCCTCTTCCAGAAGAGAAGAGTTAGGGCAAGACTAAAAACATTTCGACTAAAAGTTATGTGCACAGGTTACTAAGATTGAAATGGGTATCAGCAACTAGGTAAGGTATTAACTACCACTAACATTAATTTTGCCTTCAAATGTCGCTGTCAGTGTTTGAACAAACAGAACTGATGACTTCAATGGTAAAGAGGTTTTTGTAACCAGTTACATAAGCCTGCATTTTCATTTTTATTTCAAAATCTGCTAAATAACTCCAGATTTTCCCAATCTTTTTGTCTCCTGACTTTGTCATTTATTTTGGCAAAGTTTTATAACAGATGATTTTCAAAGCAGAGGTATCAACATATCGAATATTGTATGGCAGCGAGTGGGAATCACACCTTGTGCTTGCTGCATTGTGAACCTTTCCAGTGGCTCGCGGACAGTCGTACTATCTGATATGTAAGACTTGTGGGCACTTCAATCTTTCTTGCATTTATTTAAACAAGTGTCAATGCAGAAATATTCCTTTCTTGGTCTTTTAGCATTTTAAGTTGCAAGTAACATTGCTTACTAATTCCATGACTAAATATCACACTTGATTAACATTGAGCTACACAGACAAAGAAGATCCAGTCATTTGCAAACCATGCAAATTTACTGACCAAGCTGCAACTAGTGGATTTGAGATGACTATCTGGTATATCACAAAAATCTTTATAAGTTAGCACCTTGTGGACTGAGTTGTAACTAATTTCTTTCACACATACACAATTATTTTGAAAACCTTGTTTCATCCTGGAAAATTAATTTTATATTTGTGCAATGTCATATTGATCAATTATGATAAAGGATGTGACCTATTTCTAAACTGTGTTTAAAGCTTATTCATGATTGTTCGACATCTACGTGTCATCTGTGTTTATGTCCTGAATGATTTGTTCTACTCTAAAATTTGATTAAAAATGGACCCTAATAAGTAAATGTTACCTTTGGCTTACTGTCTGTGGGAATAATTTAATGTTATTGGCTGATTACCCTGTCAGATGAAATCATTTTTGCGAGCACCTCCAGATTCCCTTGTCTCGGCACAAGAACAAAAGAACAAAGAAAATTACAGCACAGGAACAGGCCCTTCGGCCCTCAAAGCCTGTACCGATCCAGATCTATCTAAACCTGTTGCCTATTTTCCAAGGATCTGTATCCCTCTGCTCCCTGCCCATTCATGTATCTGTCTAGATACATCTTAAATTACACTATCGTGCCCACCTCTACCACCTCCGCTGGCAACGCGTTCCAGTCACCCACCACCCTCTGCGTAAAGAACTTTCCACGCATATCTCCCTTAAACTTTTCCCCACTCACCTTGAAATCGTGATCCCTAGTAATGGAGTCCCCCACTCTGGGGAAAAAGCTTCTTGCTATCCACCCTGTCCATACCTCTCATGATTTTGTAGACCTCAATCAGGTCCCCCTTCAATGTCCATCTTTCTAATGTAAATAATCCTAATCTACTCAACCTCTCTTCACAGCTAGTGCCCTCTATACCAGGCAACATCCTGGTGAACCTCCTTTGCATCCTCTCCAAAACATTCACATCCTTTTGGTAATGTGGCGACCAGAACTGTACGCAGTATTCCAAATGTGGTCAAACCAAAGTCCTATACAACTGTAACATGACCTGCCAACTCTTGTACTCAATACCCCGTTCGATGAATGAAAGCATGCCGTATGCCTTCTTGACCACTCTATCCACCTGTGTTGCCACCTTCAGGGTACAATGGACCTGAACACCCAGATCTCTCTGTGCATCAATTTTCCCCAGGGCTTTTCCATTTACCGTATAGTTCACTCTTGAATTGGATCTTCCAAAATGCATCACCTCACATTTGCCTGGATTGAACTCCATCTGCCATTTCTCTGCCCAACTCTCCAATCTATCTATATTCTGCTGCATTCTCTGACAGTTCCCTTCACTATCTGCTACTCCACCAATCTTAGTGTCATCTGCAAACTTGCTAATCAGACCATCTATACCTTCCTCCAGATCATTTATGTATATCACAAACAACAGTGGTCCCAACACAGATCCCTGTGGAACACCACTGGTCACAGTTCTCCATTTTGAGAAACTCCCTTCCACTACAACTCTCTGTCTCCTATTGCCCAGCCAGTTCTCTATCCATCTAGCTAGTATACCCCGGATCCCATGCGACTTCACTTTCTCTATCAGCCTACCATGGGGAACCTTATCAAATGCCTTACTGAAGTCCATGTATATGACATCCACAGCCCTTCCCTCATCTATCGACTTTGTCACTTCCTCAAAGAATTCTATCAAGTTGGTAAGACATGACCTTTCCTGCACAAAACCATGCTGCTATCACTAATAAGCCCATTTTCTTCCAAATGTAAATAGATCCTATCCCTCAGTATCTTCTCCACCAGCTTCCCCATAACTGACGTCAGGCTCACTGGTCTATAATTACTTGGATTATCCTTGCTACCCTTCTTAAACAAGGGGACAGCATTAGCAATTCTCCAGTCCTCCGGGACCTCACCCGTGCTCAAGGATGCTGCAAAGATATCTGTTAAGGCCCCAGCTATTTCCTCTCTCGCTTCCCTCAGTAACCTGGGATAGATCCCATCCGGACCTGGGGACTTGTCCACCCTAATGCCTTTTAGAATACCCAACACTTCCCCCCTCCTTATGCCAACTTGACCTGGAGTAATCAAACATCTATCCCTAACCTCAAAATCTGTCATGTCCCTCTCCTCGGTGAATACCGACGCAAAGTACTCATTAAGAATCTCACTCATTTTCTCAGACTCCTTGCATAACTTCCCTCCTTTGTCCTGGAGTGGGCCAACCCTTTCTCTTTGCTAGTCTCACAATTTCACCTGTCATCCATGGTTCCCTAATCTTGCCCTTTCTATCCCTCATTTTCACAGGGACATGTCTGTCCTGCACTCTACTCAACCTCTCTTTAAAAGCCTCCCACATATCAAATGTGGATTTACCCTCAAACAGCTGCTCCCAATCCACACTCCCCAGGTCCTGCCAAATTTTACTACCGTTGGCCTTCTCCCAATTCAGCACTCTTTCTTTAGGACCACTAAGAGGGACGGCTTGGTGGCTCAGTGGTTAGCACAGCTGCCTCCCAGCGCAAGGGAGCCGGGTTTGATTCACCACTGTCTGTATGGAGTTTGTACAATCTCCTGTGTCTATGTGGGTTTCCTTTGGGTGCTCTGATTTCCTTCCACAGTCCAAAGATGTGCAGGTTAGATGGATTGGCCATGCTAAACTGCCCATTGTGTCCATGGATGTGCAAGCTAGTTGGATTAGCCATGGGAAATACAGGCTTACGAGGGATAGGGGCTGGGTCTGGGTGAGATGCTTTTTGGAGGATTGATGCAGACTCAGTGGGCCGAATGGCCTGATCTCACACTATGGATTCCATGATACAAGCTGATTTTGGAAAAAGGTGATATCTAGAAAAATTAGTCTCAGAAAAATTATCACTTTGTTGCTAACTATAAATCTAGGCCATTGTCTGTAATTTTGTAATCCACTGTCCTAATTATCATAGTCATACAGCGTAGGAACAGTCCCTATAGCCCACGATATCTATGCCAACCCCAAACATTAGACTACACTCATCTATTTACCTGCACTTGGTCCATAGCCTACCATGCCCTGGCATTTTAAGTACTCATCCTGGTGCCTCTTTCTTGTTGCAAAGGTATCTGCCTCCACACACTCTCAGGCAGCACGGTCCATATTTCTAACACCCTCTGGGTGAAAAAATTCTTTCTTAGATCTCTTCTGAACACTTACTGCTCATCTTAACCTTATACCCTCTGGTCTTAAATACATCTGCCATGAGGATACAATTCTCACGATATACTCTGTCTATATCATTTATAATTTTGTATATCTCAATCAGATTCCCCCTCAGCTTCCTGTACTCCAAGGGAAACAAACGCAGCCTATCCGGTCTCTCATAAGTGAGACTTTCCATCCCAGGCAATATCCTGATGAATTTTGTCTGCACCTTTTCCAGTGCAACCATTTCCTTTTGATAGTGTGGTGACCAGAGCTGCACACAGTATTCCATCTGTGGCTTTACCTTGCACTCACAAGGATATGCCCTATGTGGTAAATGGAAAAGCCCTGGGGAAAATTGATGTACGGAGAGATCTGGGTGTTCAGGTCCATTGTATCCTGAAGGTGGTAACGCAGGTGGATAGAGTGGTCAAGAACGCATACGGCATGCTTTCATTCATTGGACGGGGTATTGAGTACAAGAGTTGGCAGGTCGTGTTACAGTTGTATAGGACTTTGGTTCGACCACATTTGGAATACTGCGTACAGTTCTGGTCGCCACATTACCAAAAGGATGTGGATGCTTTGGAGAGGATGCAGAGGAGGTTCACCAGGATGTTGCCTGGTATGGAGGACACTAGCTGTGAAGAGAGGTTGAGTAGATTAGGATTATTTACATTAGAAAGACAGACGTTGAGGGGGGACCTGATTGAGGTCTACAAAATCATGAGAGGTATAGACAGGGTGGATAGCAAGAAGCTTTTTCCCAGAGTGGGGGACTCAATTACTAGGGGGTCACGATTTCAAGGTGAGAGGGGAAAAGTTTAAGGGAGATATACGTGGAAAGTTATTTACGCAGAGGGTGGTGGGTGCCTGGAATGCGTTGCCAGCAGAGGTGGTAGAGGCGGGCACGATAGCGACATTTAAGATGTATCTAGATAGATACATGAATGGACAGGGAGCAGAGGGATACAGATCCTTGGAAAATAGGCGACAGGTTTAGATAGAGGATCTGGATTGGCGCAGGCTTGGAGGGCCGAAGGGCCTGTTCCTGTGCTGTAACTTTTTTTGTTCTTTGTTCGTTGATTAAATTCCATCTGCCATTGCTCTGCCTAATTTACCAGCTGGTCAATATCACGCTGTGGCCTGAGACCCTTCCTTACGACCAATAGCCTTGCCACTTTTCATGTCATCTGCAAACTCACTAATTCTACCTTCTGCATTCACATCCAAGCTGTTAATGTATATAACAAACAGCAAGGGTCCCAGCACCTGAACCATGTAGTACACCACTGATCAGAGCTTCCAAGTACAAAAACTGCCTTCCACCACTCTTTGTCTCCTATTTGTAAGCAAATTTTGGATCAATTTTTGCCAACTTGATCCCATGGGCAGTTTTTTTGGACTAGCCTTCCACATGGAACTTCATCAAAGGCCTTACTGAAGTCCATGTAAACCATATGAACTACACTACTTTCATCAAATAATGTAGCCACGTTTTCAAAAAATTCAATTGAATTAGTAAGATAGGATCTCCTCTAACAAACCCATACTGATTATCCCTGCCTTTCCAACTATTGATTAATACTGTCCTTCAGCATTTTTCGTCTAATAGTTTTCCTACCACTCAAGCCAA